TGCACGGGCTTAGTCGTTCTGTGGCCTGTGGGATCTTCCTGGGTCAAGGATCAAACCCGTGTCTCCTGCGTTGGCAGGCGGATTCTTTACCACTGAGCCACCAGGGAAGCTCTGTTTTTAAAACTTTTTGTTACGAAATAATTTTATAGAAGAGCTGCAAAGTTGATGCAAAGTTCCTATATGCCCTTTACCCAATATACCCTAAATATAAATGTCGTACATAATTATGGTACATTTAAAACTAATACCTTAATGTTGGTACAGTACTGTTAACTATAGACTCTGGATTTTGTCAGTTTTTCCACTAATGTCCTTTTTCTGTTGTAGGAACCATTGCAGGATACCACATTGTGTTTAGTTGTATGTCTCCCTAGACATGACGCAAATTTACCAGCTGTAGTACAGTATTTTACAGTATTTGTATAAAGTTCTTTTGTTTATAGCCTTACAGTATCCAGTCAAGATAGCATTTTCCAGAGTTACTATTACATAGTCTTTTATTTCTTTCTCTTAGAAAAATTCATATAAAACTCACCCATGTTGTTGTATGAATCAGTTTTTTTAAATTGTGGTGAACTTTGTATAACATAAAACTAAGCATTTTAAAGTGAGCAGTTCAGTGACATTTAGCACTTTCACAGTATTGTGAAATAATCACCTCTGTCTAATTCCAAAACACTTTCATCACTCCAGAATAAAATCCTGCGCCTATTAAGTTGTAACTCTCCATTCCTTCTTCCTTCCAGCCTCTGGTAACTATGATTCCACTTTCTGTTTCTATGGATTTACCTATTCTGGATATTTCATTTGAATGGAATCATGCTATTATGTGATATTTTGTGTCTTGACTTTTCCACTTAGCATAATGTTTTTGAAGGTGTCTCCACATTGTAGCATGTATCAGTAACTTATTCCTTTCTTTTTTTAAAATTGTGTTAAAATATATGTAATATAAAATTTGCCATTTTAATCATTGTTTAGCACACAGTTTAGTGTCATTAATTGCATTCACAATATTATGCAATCATCACCACTATCTATTTCTAAAACTGTTTCGACACTCTAAACAAACTGTACCCATTAAACAATAAGTCCTCATTCCTCACTCCTCCCAGCTGTTGGTAACCTCTAATCTAGCTTTTTCCTTTATGAATTTGCCTGTTCTAGGTATTTCATACAAGTGGAATCATACAGTATTTGTCCTCCTGTGTTTGGCTTATTTCACATCAGGAAACTTGCACAAGCCTCTTATCCTCATCCATCAGAGAGAAGACAGAAGGAGCTAGAATAGAAACTAATCAAAATGATCACATGGATCACAGCCTTGTGTAGCTCAATGAAACCATGAGCCATGCTATGCCACCCAAGATGGACAGGTCATGATGGGGAGTTCTGAGAAAACATAACCCACCTTAGAAGAGAATGGCAAACCACTTCAGCATTCTTGCCTTGAGAACCCCATGAACAGTATGAAAAGGCAAAAGATATGACACTGAAAGATAAGCCCCGCCCCAGATCAATAGGTGTCCCATATACTATTAGAGAAGAGCAGATAAATAGCTCCGGAAAGGATGAAGAGTCTGAGTCAAAGCAGAAACAATGCCCAGTTGTGGATATATCTGATGGTGAAAGTAAAATCTGATGCTATAAAGAGTAATGTCGCATAGCAACCTGGAATGTTAGGTCCATGAATCAAGGTAAATTGGTAGTGTTCAAACAGGAGATGGCAAGAGTAAACATTGACATTTTAGGAATCAGTGAACTAAAATGGATGGGAATGGATGAACTTAATTCAGATGACTGTTATATCTACTACTGTGGGCAAGAACCCCTTAGAAGAAATGGGGTAGCCCTCATAGTCAACAAGAGAGTCTGAAATGCAGTTCTTAGGTATAATCTCAAAAACTACCAAATGATATCAATTCGTTTCCAAGGCAAACCGTTCAACATCACAGTAATCCAAGTCTGTGCCCCAACCACTAATGCCAAAGAAGCTGAAGTTGAATGGTTGTATGAAGACCTACAAGACTTTCTAGAACTAACACCAAAAAAAGATGTCCTTTTCATCATAGGGGATTGGAATGCAAAAGTAGAAAGTCAAGAGATACCTGGAATAACAGGCAAATTTGGCCTTGGAGTACAAAATGAAGAAGGGTAAAGGCTAACAGAATTTCACCGAGTGCGTGCACTGGTCATAGCAAGAACCCTCTTCTAGCAGCACAAGCAATGATTCTCTGCACATGGACTTCTTCAGATGGTCAATACCAAAGTCAGATTGATTATATTCTTTGCAGCGGAAGATGGAGAAGCTCTATACAGTCAGCAAATATAAGACCAGGAGCTAAGTGTGGCTCAGATCATTAAGTCAAAATTCAGACTTAAATTGAAGAACGTAGGGAAAACCACTAGGTCATTCAGGTATGACTTAAATAAAATCCCTTATGATTATATAAGTGACAAATAGATTCAAGGGATTAGATCTGGTAGACAGAGTGCTTGAAGAATTATGGATGGAGGTTCATAACATTGTATAAGAGGTGGAGACCAAAACCATTCCCAAGAAAGGAAATGCAAGAAGGCAAAGTGGTTGTCTGAGGAGGCCTTACAAATAACTGAGAAAAGAAGAGACGTGAAAGGCCAAGGAAAAAGGGAAAGATATACCCAACTAAATGCAGAGAATAGCAGGGAGAGATAAGCAAGCCTTCTTAAGTAAACAATGCAATGAAATAGGGAAAAACAATAGAATGGGAAAGACTAGAGATCTCTTCAAGAAAATTAGAGATAACAAGGGAATGTTTCATGCAAAGATGGGGACAGGAGAGGACAGAAGCTGTAAGTACCTAACAGAAGCAGAAGAGATTAAGAAGAGGTGGCAAGAATACACAGGAAAACTGTACAAAAAATGTCTTAATGACCTGGATAACCATGATGGTGTGGTCACGCACCTCGAACCAGACGTCCTGGAGTGTGAAGTCAAGTAAGCCTTAGGAAGCATTACTACAGACAAAGCTAGTGAAGATGATGGAATTTCAGCTGACCTTTTTAAAATCTTAAAAGATGCTCTTAAAGTGCTGCATTCAATATATCAGTAAATTTGACAAACTCAACAGTGGCCACAGGGCTAGAAAAGATCCGTTTTCATTACAATCCCAAAGAAGGGTAATGCCAAAGCATTTTCAAGTTACTGCACAATTGTGCTCATTTCACATGCTAGCAAGATAATGCTCAAAATCCTTCAAGCTAGCCTTCAGCAGTACATGAACTGAGAACTTCCAGATGTACAAGCTGGATTTAGAAAAGGTAGAGGGATCAGTGATCAAATTGCCAACATCTATTGAATCATAGAAAAAGCAAGAGAATTCCAGGAAAACATCTGCTTCATTGACTACACTAAAGCCTTTGACTATGTGGATCACAACAAACTGTGGGAAATTCTTGAAGAGATTGAAATACCAGATCACATTACCTGCCTCCTGAGAAGCCTGTATGCAGGCCAAGAAACAACAGTTAGAACCAGACATGAAACAACAGACTGGTTCAAAATTGGGGAAGGAGTACGTCAAGGCTTTATATTGTCACCCTGCTTATTTAACTTCTATGCAGAGTACATCATGCAAAATGCCAGGCCAGATGAATCACAAGGTGGAATCAAGATTGCTGGGAGAAATGTCAGTAACCTCAGAAATGCAGATGACACCAACCTAATGACAGAAAGTGAAGAGGAACTAAGGAGCCTCTTGATGAAGGTGAAAGAGGAGAGTGAAAAAGCTGGCTTAAAACTCAACATTCAAAGCTAAGACCATGGCATCCAGTTCCATCACTTCATGACAAATAGATGGGAATAGAATGGAAATAGTGACAGACTTTATTTTCCTGGGCTCCAAAATCACTGCAGATGGTGACTGCAGCCATGAAATTAAAAGACAGTTGCTCCTTAGAAGAAAAGCTATGACAAATCGAGATAGCATATTAAAAAGCAGAAACACCACTTTGTTGACAAAGGTCTGTATAGTCAAAGCTGTGACTTTTCCAGTGGTCATGTATGGATCTGAGAGTTGGACCAAAAGAAGTTTGAGTGCCCATGAATTTATGCTTTCAAACTGTGGTGCTGAAGAAGACTCTTGAGAATCCCTTGGACTGCAAGGAGGTCAAATCAATCAATCCTAAAGGAAATCAGTCCTGAATATTCATTGGAAGGACAGATGCTGAAGCTGCGATATTTTGGCCACCTGATGTGAATAGTTGACTCATTGTAAAAGACCTTGATGCTGGGAAAGACTGAGGGAAAGAGGAGAAGAGGGTACCCGACAGAGGATCAGATGATTGGATGGCAATATCGACTCAATGGACAAGTTTGAGCAAACCCAGGGAGATAGTGAAGGGTAGGAAAGCCTGGCATGCTGCAGTGCATAGGGTCACAAGTATGGGACACGACTGAGCAACTGAACAACAGGAAAATGTTTTCCAGGTTCATTCATGTTGTAGCATGTATCAGAATAAATCCTTTTTATGGTCAAATAATATTCTATTGTATGGATATATCACATTTTGTTCATCTGTGTTGATGGACGCATCTGTTGTTTTCACCTCTGGCTCTCATGAATATGCTGCAGTGGACACGGCATACAGGTGCTGTTGGAGTCCTCGTTTTCAGTTTGTTTGGGGTCTGTACCTTAAAATGGAGTGCTTTGCTCACCTCTGGTTTAGATTATATATAATGATAAACTAAATGCCAAAGTGGTTAGACCTCAGTCTTGATAGTATGTAGTTTTATCAGATTTTTAAATGTTTGCCAACTTGGTCTATGTATAATGGTGTTTCATTGTGATTTTAATTTGTAGTTCCTGATTTCTAATGAGATTGAATGTATTCATATGTTTATAAGCCATTTGAATTTCCTGTTTTATAATGTACCATTCATTTTCCTACTGGTGGTTTGCCTTCCTGAATTTCTGTTGGTGAATTGATGTCTCCAAATCATGTTTACTCTGTTTCTGCAGAACAAATAGTGGAGAAAGATGAAGGTCCATATTATACTCATCTGGGATCTGGCCCCACAGTAGCCTCCATCCGGGAACTCATGGAGGAGCGGTGAGTGATGCACAGATGTCCAAGGAGAAATGGGCAAGTTGTTAATAGAATGTGCATTTTAAGCACCTCTCATTTTCATTGCCTTATACTAGACAGCCTACAGAAAGGAATCCCTGATACCCAGACTGTGAAAAGTTGAATGTGGGATTTCCACCCCACCAGTGCTCTGGGTTTCTTTCTGTCTGTAGGTCTGCACTTCATATGTTCCTCTGTCCCTGCTTTCTCTCACTCTTTATTGACATAGTTTTCCTTAAAGAAATGGGGTTAAATGGTTGTGGGTCCTGTGGAGTTTCCCATGGCTGAATTTTGCTGCTACCATCCCTGTGGTATTTAACAGGTTCTTCTGCCCTGTGTCCTGTAAATTGGCAGTTAGATCTAAAGGCTTGATCAGAATCTGATTGTTTCTTTCTTTTAAAACTATTCCTAGGTGATGTTTTGTATCACCACTAGGAGGAATGTATGCCTCATATTTGGCCAGTGGGCACCTATTTACATGATCTCCTGAGTCATTTTGACATGATCCTAGGAGTTTTTGATCTCTTGTATTTTTATGGCGGAAAAATTATTTAGAAAAGAGACTCCAGGTGCTGGGAGTGCCCATTTCTCTAGGCCACCTCAAGTAGAAAGAGCCAAGATATATGTGTAGGTTTTTTACTTTTGTTACTGTTTAGTGATTAAATACATTTGAGTTTATGTACACTTACAATTCAACACAAGACTGTAGGGCTTTTGCTTAATAGCTCTGTTCTGCTTTTTTAATAGCAGTTTTATATAAATAGAAACTTTTAAATCCATGTGTGTCCCCAGTAGATAGTAAATACTATGAGTCCCAGAGTGTAGAGCGGTAAAATAGCTTGGTGATTGGGAACACTGGGACCCTGGAGCTAGAGCTCAGGTCCAAGTCCTGGCCCTTCCACTCACTGCTGAGTTCTTTGGTAAGTTGCTCTACTTCTGTGTGACTCGGTTTTCTTATCTACAGAATGGAGATGATAAAAGCATGTACATTGAAGGAGAATTATGAGGATAAATGGAATTGATGTCTGGAAAGCACCTGGTCCTTACTAGTAAATATTACATACAGGGTGTCTGCATGATATCCACATGGACTGTGGGTTTTTTAATAACTAAGGTTTATTAGTATTTTAATAGTAAAGTCACAGATTATGTAAGACATAAATGTGTTTGCTCATACATATACATACAGATGTGGAAGGCCAAGGGATAAGTAGCTTAGAATTTCCAGAAATTTGGGGAGCAGGTTTTATCTGACCAGTGTAGCTAAACTGATAAATTAGCAGGAAACATGATTTTGAATTGCATAACTGTAGTGATGTCCCCGAATGAATAAAAGGTAAGGTGGATGGAGGACAGTGATCTGCTGTAAACACTCTTAATTATCCTGTACCATCTGGAAACATTTATATTCATAGTAGCCCATCAGAAAAGCATTTGATTAAAGACCCAATCTGTAAATTCAAGCCTGATTGAAAGAGCACCTCTGAGTCCATGAAAATTGTCAAAAAGTCTACAGATTACAAATGTTGGCAAGGATGTGGAGAAAAGGGAACACTTAAAACAGTATGTGGGCTTCCCTAATAGCTCAATTGGTAAAGAATCTGCCTGCAATACAGGAGACCCCAGTTCAATTCCTAGGTTGAGAACACCTGCTGGAGAAGGGATAGGCCACCCACTCCAGTATTCTTGGGCTTCCCTTGTGGCTCAGCTGGTAAAGAATCCACCTGCAATGCAGGAGACCTGGGTTCGATCCCTAGGTTGGGAAGAACCCCTGGAGAAGGGAAAGGCTACCCACTCCAGTATTCTGGCCTGGGGAATTCCGTGGACTGTATGGTACATGAGGTCACAAAGAGTCGGACACTACTGAGCAACTTTCACTTTCAATACAGTATGTGGGATTGCTGAGAAAAACAAATATCATATATGAACACAAATTATGTGGAATCTAGAAAAACAGTTCAGGGGAGCCTGTTTGCAGGTCAGGAATGGAGATGCAGATGTAAGGAATGGACATGTGGACAGGGGTCGTGGAGGAGATGGGGAGAGGAGGGTGGAGGAATCGGGAGTGTAGCGTTGGCATATGTGTGTACTGCCATGTGTAAGACAGGTAGCTCGCGGGAACCTTCTTTGTAGCACAGGGAGTCAGGTCCACGCTCTGTGATGCCCTAGAGGGGTGGGATGCGGGGTGGGTGGGCGAGAGGTCCAGAAGGGAGGGGATGTATGAATACCTACAGCTGACTCACTTCATGGTACAGCAGAAAAGTTACAGAACCTTGTAAAGCAATTATACTCAAAAAACCCAGTGTGTGTGGTTTTACACGCACCCCTGCATGTGCCCGCGTGTATATGTCTTGCAGCTTGGAGGTTGGAGTGGGCATCATTTTGGCCAGTGGTTTTTGAGAGGAATTTTGACACCATTGTTTACAGGTTGAGGGCTGCAGTGGCGTCAGATATACAAGTTTGATCTGGGATGGTTTTTACATTTGTTTGTTTCTTGGTAACAATTTTATAAGATTTCTAGACAGCTCTCTAAATAACTTTTAGTTATAGAAGAGTGTGTTTTGAAATAAGGATTAAGAGATAATGATGCAGTTGAGATTTGTCCTTTCCTTTTTTCTCATTGCTTTAAAAATAACAGCCAAGTGTAGATTCTTCAGAAACTGATCCAAGGGAGGAATTCCTCTCAAGACCAGGAATACTTGTGTTTTTCCTCAGCAACTGGTTTATTTTTATCTTAAGGACCTTGTAAATCATGGAACAGATTGTGTTTCCATCTTTATGTTGGCTGTTAGTAAGCTTAGCACCAGATTTGTGTATTCTCATTAGGAGGAACGTGATTTCTCATCTTTGGCCCATGGAAGTCTATGCAGGTTCACCCCTGAGTCCTTTTGACGTGACCCTGAGGAGCCTTCATTAGCTTCCTTGATTTCTTATGTGATGAAATGTTCTAGACTCATCTCTTTAAAGTATGCATAAGATCCCACCGTTTGCATTTTACATACAAACATCATGTCTGTCTGTTTCCCCCTTTACCCTGATTTCATCACCTGTTATTTTTGTCACATAGACATCTTTTTAAGCTTCTTCTGGAACAAGGAGGGGAATGAATGATTGCTGAAACTCACCTCGATGGGAGTCTAGTTTGGGAATGATCTGAGCTATCTCTTTCTCTAGACTTCCCCCCCACCCTTTCTCTGCAGGACCACTCTACAGCCAGGAGTTGGCCAAGACGAGGAGGGAAGAAAACTGAAACCCAGGGGATGTTGGTGCTTTTAGCTTATCTGGTAAAGACTTTGGAAGGAGGGGGAGGTTCAAAGCAAGTCCTGAAATATTATAAAATTTGTTAACGGGTTCCATACCCCCTAGGTACCCAGGTCCTTGTCGTCATAGGTAATTGGAGTCGGGTGTTCAAACCCATATCTGAGAAGGGCCTGGTGCACAGGGCCACATGTCCTCTAACTGGGAAGGGGCTTCTCTGCAGCCTAGTAGTTCATTCATTCAGCCTAAATGTTCATTCTGGGAATGAAGCACCAACACCCTGCTAGCAAATCCTCTGAGTTTGGGGGGAACTGGTCTCATTATTGTGTGATGGAGGTAACCCCAAAGAATCACAACTTTAGATCAGCGGTTATCAAGCTTGAGCATGCTTCAGGTTTCTGGAGGACTTGTGAAAGCACAGATGGCTGGACCCCAGCCCAGGGTTTCTGAAACAGCAGGCCTGGGATGGGACTTGAGAGTCTGCATGCTGGTCCCAGCACCACCTTTGAGAATCACTGGCTAAGACGATCAAGTTACCCTTTAAAATAAAGTTTCAGCCTATCCTTGCAGACTTGACTTTAGGGTCTAGGAGTTCACCTATATTCTAACCTCTTAATGATAGGCCAGAAACTAAGACATTTAAGAAAAAAAGAGCTAAATCCAGAGTTGTTGGTTGTCTTTAAACACAGAGACAGTCCTGGTTAAAAAAAATTTTGCCTGATCAGACAGTGCTTGGCCCTTTTATTTGCTCTGAAATACAAGGTTCACTGCAAGAAGCATTTCTCATGAGGATAGGACAGTGCGGAAGGTCTTGGTCAGAAAGCCCGAGTCTGTGTTCTCAACTCACCCTTCTGTGGGGAACAACGATATCCTGTGGGTTATGGTGAGAGCGGTATGGTCACCTTGGGTCATTCTTCCCACTGTGGCCCCAGGACATACAGTGCCCAGGCTCTGCGCGCATGGGCCGCTTCCTGATAAATGATTGTGGGGTTGAAAGTTTTCCAGGAGTCAGACAAAAGCAGCACTATCTGGTCTTTTCCTTTTGAGCCAGACCATGCTATATAAACTCCCCAGGGTCCTGTCTGCAAACACGTTCTATAACATAGCCTGAGAACTTTAATGTAGCAGTTATCAGCTTTTCACTTCATTCCCAAGGTCTTGAGTGAAACAGAGAACATTGAACTCAGAGAGACCTTAGATCATCATTTTCAAAAGTACTTGTTTTGTTTTCCAGTTACAAAAATAAAACATGTCTATAAAAGGCCATTTTTAAAAAGCTTATAGTGAATAAAGCTCTCTAGTAATTATCCTCCGAGAAGAAAAAATTTTTTCAAGTTTGATTTTTTTCTGAGCATTTACAAAGATAACATATGTGTATAGAGAAATTTTGAACAAAATGGGATCAAGAATACTGTACCCATGTTGGTGGATACTTTCCCCTCCACTTAATTTTTCTCATGTCAGTACATATAATTCTATTGAATCCTTTTTGATAGCTATATGGTTTTCCGTTGCATGGACATTTACTTAATTATGTTTTATTTAGCCAGTCCTGTACTAGATATTTGGGCTCCCCTGGTGGCTCAGTGGTAAAGAATCTGCCTGCCAACACAGGAGACCTGGGTTCGATCCCTGGGTCAGGAAGATCCCCTGGAGGAGGGAATGACAGCACACTCCAGTATTCTTGCCTGGGAAATACTGTGGACAGAGGAGCCTGGCAGGCCACAATCCACGGGGTCACAAAAGAGCTGAACACAACCCAGCAACTAAGCAACAACAATACTGGATATTTTTGTTGTTTCTAAATTTTCTCATTGATGCAACAATATCTTGTTGCTAAATCTTGGTGTATTTGTACAAGTTATATCAGAGATTCCTAGAAGTGAAGTGGATAAGATAAAGAATTATGTATAACTGTATATGAATTTATATAAAGAATATGTAAAACAGTAGTAGTTGTGAGAGTTATGATACAAATGCCTAGTAGTTATGATAAGATTACCCTCTATTAAATAGTATATTGAAATAATATTCCATGACCAAATTGGATTTGTTACAGAAATATAACAATTGTTGGATTTAGACAGCCTGTTAAAATAGCATACCTTGTTAATTGACCAAAGGAGAAAAACCATTCTTCTGTGTCCTTAGTTGTTAAAAATGTATTTGATAAAATTGATCAGTTCTTTTTTAAAAATTTATCTATGGCTGTGTTGGGTCTTCGTTGCTACATGTGGGCTTCCTCTGGTTTTGGTGACTGGGGGCTCCTCTCTAGTCGCCGTGCATGGGCTTCCCGTTGCAGTGGGTTCTCTTGTTGCAGAGCATGGGCTTTAGGGCGCACGGACTTAGTTGCCACTCAGCATGTGAAGTCCTCCCGGAACAGGGATCAAACCCATGTCTCTGCATTGACAGGTGAATTCTTAACCACTGGGCCACCAAAATTGATCAATTCTTGATTAACAATTCTTAGAACAGGAAACCGTTAATAGAGCTCTTCAAAATAAGGGAGTCTCTGTCTCTAGCCCAAAGTTAGCAAGCTGCATGCTCAGGGGTGAGTCGTTGGAAACATTTCTAGGAAAGTCAGGAAATAAGCAAAGATGCCTGCAAGAGCTCTGGAAGCGCTGGCCAGTACAGACAGACAGGAAACTGAAGTAAAGCCGTGGAAAGGAGAAGCTGGCAAATAACCATTATTCTCAAATGATATGATATTGTATTAGAAACTAGAAGCTATTAAAAATAAGACAAGTTAGTAAGATGGATGTTTGCAGTGTTAAGAATACTAACTGGTCTCTTCCTTTGTGCCAGAAACTTTGATGTATTGGATTGGCCAGGAAGTTCATTCAAGTTTGCCAGCCCCTGTTCCCGAGTGAACTTTTTGGCCAACCCAGTGCTTTTAAGGCACTCCCAAGCCTAGGAGACAGGAACCATTTTTATATCCATTTTATAGATGAAGAAACTGAGGCTTAGAGAAGTTCAGGCGTTTGGCCACAGTCTTGTAACAAAAGGGCTGTGTGGGCTCTCAGGCCCCAGCTCTCTGACCTCCGTGGCTGCACTGTAGCCAGCCTTGCCCCCAGGTAGTTGTGTGCCCTTCAGCAGGTCATTTCAGCTCGGAGGGCCACAGTTTCCTCACCTCTGCATGTGGTGAATCCCTGAGTGTGTGCACACGTGTGTGGGCCAGGGCAGGGGTGTGTGCAGGAAACAGGCATGTTTACTGTAAGTCCAGGGGAATCTCGGAGCCAGTGTGTCCTGGGGAGGCCACTTCCCCCTGGACTCAGCTATCTGTCCTCATCTGTTCAAATGTCATTTGGGGATTGTTGAAAGACAGTAATAAGGGTTTCCCCATTTGTTTTCTTTTGTCTATTGAATTTTATTGACTTTATAAGTAGTTAAGTCTGCTAACAGGGCTGCATACAAATGCCTATGTTGAGCCTTTGGTTTGAGGGCTCAGAGAGAATCATCAGAGACCTCTGCCCTGGGGCAGGATGGAGCCAGATGGGCCAGAGGCCCTGAGGTCTATAAGTGGAGTTGTGTTCCCAGAGGCTCAAGCACTGAATAAATGTTTAAATCTTTCTCTTCCTTTTCTGTTGCCCCCATGGTAACTAGAAACCCAAGCGGAAACACGCTGAGAACTTGCCTTCTTACCAGGACTCCTTTGGGATTCAGTTGTGCTAATGGTGGCTTCTGTCTTGCTCTCCAGGTACGGAGAGAAGGGGAAAGCCATCCGGATCGAGAAGGTCATCTACACGGGGAAGGAAGGGAAGAGCTCACGTGGCTGCCCCATCGCAAAGTGGGTACGTGTCAAAGCTCCACAGCCCAAACTGGACTGGGGAGTTGGGGGCAGGCGTGTGCACCACCCAGGGAGCTATGAGCCAGCATCTGGTGCTGGTTAGGGTCATCTTCCCCCAGCCTCAGCTGTTGGTCCTCACTTTGTTTAAATGCCAGCTCCTGATGTCCGAGGCTGGCCTTGGAACTTCTCTAGTTGTTATGCTCAACTCGTACTGCCCTTGTGGTTCAGGGCTGCAGGGGAAGGAGATGTGGAAGGTAGCTGGAGACATCATCGTGCTCAAGGCTGGGCCCCACCGTGACTCCTCTGCCCCCGCTGTGTGCCCTGGTGCTGGGTGTCCCTGTCTCTAGTCCATAAGAACCACGCCTCTGGGCAGAATCAGGACAGCACTGCATCTGCTTGACTTCTGAGCCACTGTTTCCTATAGGCAGCCAGCGTATCATGGCAGAGGGATCATCAGTATCTCAGACCCCAGTTTCACCCAGTGTTCTGACCTGTCCTTCCAGCCCTCATAGAGCACTTTAGAACCACTATAGAACCCTGCCCAGAGCAGCAGCAAATTTATCAGGTAGCTAATTGTTCACTGCTTGGTAGGAAGAATATGCATGGAAAATAGAAGGCTCTGTCCCTGTGTTCAAACTGCTTGAATGTAGAGACAGCAGGAAGTAAGATCATGAAGACTTGAATAATCAGAGTTTAACATTGAGAGGCAGGCTTGGTGGTGTTGAGTTCAGGGGCAAGGGATATGAGTGGCAGGAGGAGTTCAGGCTGGGTCTTCCAGAGAAGGTGGATATGCACGGGGCCCTATTAAATGGGCGAGGAGAAGTAGAAGCATCCCTGGTGAGGAGAGTCATGTGGGCAAAGGCAGAAAGGCAGGGTGAACATGCACTCAGCTCACTTCGACTGAAAGATGGTAGTAACATGAGCTCTGTCAGACTCTGTTTTTATTTGGTCTGTATCCCACCCCTTTGCACCTTTATGTTTAATGAAAATAATAGGTATCTAAACCTGAACTACCACATATCTATTTGTAGCAGTTTTCAGATGGTAGCACAGAATTGTCTGGAAAAATCTGAAATACGTAAGAGTATTCATGGGTATATAAAAGAATGTTTTCCCCACCCTCATGAAAGGTGGTCATTATAGTAGGAGGTTAATTATTTCTCTGGCTGATCAGGGTGGGGTGTTATCCCTCCCAGAGAACCCATCAGGGAAGTGGTGTCTTTCCCTTCCTCCTGCTAATTTATGTAGTCGTTGAGGAATTCCAAAGTGTCAGGCAAGAAACTGAAGATCCTTGGGGCATTGGCAGACTTTTCCGCTTCAGAAACAGTTGCCCCCTAAAAGCCACAGTTGGCTCTGTGGACAGTGTTGAGGATAAGAATATGCATCTTAATCCTCAGACACCCATGGTGAAGCTTTTGCTCTTGACCAGCGCTCATGTGTCTCTGCTGAGGGCTGGGGAGGAAGGCGCCCAGGTAAAGCGTGAGATCCGTTTCTGGGGCCATGAGAGAAAAACAGAATGATTGAGGGAAGAACGTGGTCCTCAGAACTCTGGTCCCTCCAGGCTCTGGCGGGCAAGTGCCCAGAGCTGGACACATGAACACAGTGCTTTGTCCAAAGATTGGAATAGCTTGTGGATATCACCAAGCCTGGGGGAGTGCCCATCACCAATGCCCATCTTCTTTCTTTTTGAAAGAAAAGCTCATATAGAAGGGGATACATAGTGATGGAGAGGTGAGGAAATTCCACATCTGATGAGTGAAAATAAAATGAGAGAGGAGGGAAATTTTGTTAATGAGAAGAGTGGTAGATCATAGAACTATTATTACAGTGGCAAGAAAATGGCAGTGCTGTATTGTTTTTTGTTTTCTAACCATCTCCCATAGGGTGGTGAATTTCCCTTATTTGTTGCCTACACAGCCATCAAATAACCCTATGTATTACAGTTGTAGGGCTCGTCTAGAGTTCCACCTCCTTGGAAGTTAGAGAAGGGACAGAGGTTCCCTTTCTCTGCCCCCGTGTGGAAATGGCCCACAAATGCGAAGGGCAGACTGTTCTCAGTGGCAGCACGGCCGTGGTCCATCGCCGTGGCGGGTGGCAGCTCCCAGCTTCCTGTGCTGGCCTGGCCAGCACCTTCCGTGCTCTCCCCGCCGCCCCGCCCCGCCCCGTGTCTAGGTCCTGGGTGTTCGTTCCAGCCAGGGTTCCTGTCTGGGTCTGCAGCCATGACCTTCAGCTACAAGCCGTGTGCCCAACAAGTTTTAGATTTAGCCAGCTAGGGTCTTGGGTGACAAAGCTGAGGTGTATCATGGATGCCCAGCAAATGTGTGTTCAGAGAATGATCTAAGAAACCAGTGGGGACACCCCAGAGAGCCTGCTGGTAATCTGAGATTTTAAGGTGGCCTGTACAAAGTGTGGAAGTCACGAAGCGTGGAGATGAGGGAGCGATGCGGGTAGGATCCCAAAGGCTCAGGATAAATGGAGGCATACCAGACGCAAACAGTGCAGACACGATAAATGGGCTTTTGTTAGAAGAGCCCTGGAGATGCTGCTTGGGCCAGCCCGTAATGGTAACAGGTCAGAAGGCAGATGTTTGAAGGCCCACCGGGTGCATGGTAGAGCAGACTTACCTGCGGAACCCCAGTGCTGGAACTCAGACCAAGGCTGAGAGTGATGGGGGAATAGATTTGGGTTTCTGCTCAGCGCTCACACAACTCCTGCCCCACACCTAGGTGATTTGTTTACAGTCCTGTGATGGCATGTGAACCGTCTGCGTTGCTGTGCCCTGAGTGTTGGTGTGTTCACACCTTACGTTGGACTTTGACTTCTGCACGTTGTGTATTTCGTCCTGCTGGGTTCCTTCATAGAGTGTGGATAGGGAGCTCCGCTTGGTTACAGCTCTTTTGCGTGTATCCAGAGGCCTGTGAGGGTGTGGTCACAGGGCTGTCTGCTCCTGCCTCTGCACATTTACGTGTGACTAGGCACATTTAGGGCTTCCCAGGTGGCTCAGAGGTAAAGAACCTGCCTGCCGGTGCAGGAGACGCAGGAGACCCAGGCTTGATCCCTGGGTTGGGACGATCCCCCTGAGGAGGAAATGGCACCCCAGTCTAGTATTCTCACCTGGAAAATCCCATGGACAGAGGAGCCTGGCGGGCCACAGTCCATGGGGTCGCGAAGAGTCAGAACATGGCTGAGCACGCATGCACAGGCACGTGCAGACGCGGAAACCCGTAGGGCATGGCCTCAGTCTGCGCTCTGACGGCACAGGCCTGTCTGTGTGCTCTGAACGTGTGTCGCACATGAATGTAATTAGCCAGTGCTCTGCTGAGGCACACCCTACCACCTACTGTGTGTGCATGCCCATGAAGTGCCTGGCTCAGTCTGCAGAAAGCCAGCCACACACGGAAATGATCAGTGGCAGTTCATATATTCACTGATCCACAAAAACAATTTTATAATGTTGCAATCATTGCTTCCACAAAGGGTGGAGGTGCTGGGCTCCATCACTGCTATGACTCAAAGCAGGAACTCTTGGCTCAGGTATGTTTTGTTTAGTATACAAGATGTCCTTTAAATTTGGAAGGAAGTTCTGGTACATGGATGAAACTTGAAGATGTCATGCTAAGTGAAATTAAGCTGGTCACTGAAGGACAAATGTTGTACAATTCCACTTATGTGAGGTACCTGGCATAGTCAAATTAATAGAGTCAGAAAGCAAAATGGTTGTCCCCATGGGCTGGGCTCAGCGGAGAATGGAGGGTTAGTATTAAGTGGGTAGAGAGTTTCTATTTGGGAAAATTAAAAGTTCTGGAGATGAAAGAAGTTCTGGTGATAGTTTATATAATGTGAATGTGCTTAATGCTACTGAATTGTGCACTTAAAATGCTAAATTTTATGTTACATATCTTTTCCCACCATTTAAAAAATGAATGTGGTGTTCATATCTTTAAAAGGAGAGATTTCGTGTGAAAATCTGGATTTCTGTTTTCTTCTTCGCAAACTGGAAGGGCTAGGTATGCTTGGCTGGAATTCCCACCAGCCAGTGGTCCATGGAGAGAGGTCTGGCTTCCCACCCACCTTCCACTCCTTAGTTGTACCTCTGGCCCGCTTTCCTTATTGATACTGCCTGCCTGGTGGCGCTCTCAGCACCAGCCTGCACTGATGCACTCGTGGACAAGTCTGTCTCCATTCCAGACACCTCCTGCCCTCCAGATCGATTCTGTTGGTTCTGCTCAGAATAGCCACTCCAGTGTTCCAAAGTGCCTCCACCGTGGAGTGCTCCCTGCCCCCCGCCAGGAAACACTGCCCACACTCACCCACTTTTCTGCACTGCAAAATGTCAGTTAAGACTTTTGCCTAAAAAAAAAAAAGACTTTTGCCTGGCCCTCAGCTCCTGTAGTGAGGTGGTCCCAAAGTCACCTTTCTCCTGAAGTTCTCTAGAATCCGTGTCTTTTCCTGTTCATTCCTCAGTGTCCTAGTTCAGACTTCATCCGATTTGCTTGTCTTATGTCAGTGGTCTCCCCATTTCACCCCTCTCCCAACCATCTGCTCCCCCTTCTAAAGCATGTAGCTATGAATATAAGGGAGCCCCCTGCTTGCTTTGTAGAATCCCTGTCTCAAGTCCTATCCCTCCACTTGCTACTCAGAGCCCTTCCCAGTCTTCCCTCTTCACAGGCCCCCACATCTTATCTAGTCACAGAATTCCTTGGGATTTTTGGAGGGGAGATTCAGCCACCTCACCGCCCACTCCTGGACCCTTTGTGCTTTGTGTGAGCCAGGACAGTGTTTAGGGCGTGGGTGAAGGGTGAGGTGAGAGCCTGGGTGACTGGACGGCTGGACCCTGAGGAGCAGAGCAGTGCCCCATGGCCTATGCCTTTTTTTTTTTTTTTTTAGCAGTCTTATTGAGATGTAATTCACATACCATAAAATTCACTTATTTAAAGTACACAATTCTGTGGTATTGCATTACTAATTTTAAAAATTGTTAAAACATATATAACATAAAATTTTCATTTTAATCATTTTAAATGTGCAATCCAGTGGCATCAATTACATTCACATTGTTATGCAACCCATCACCACTATTTCCAAAATTTTCTCATCATGCCATCCTGAAACTATGGTTGTATTCTTAGGTGTGCCTGGTCACATATGTTTAACTTTCCAAGGAACTACCAAAAACTGTTTTCCATAGTGCCCAGGCCCTTGCTTTTTAACAAAAACCATGCACATATGCACCATTTTCTCTGCAAATGTTTTAGGACAATGTAAAAATTTCTGAAATTTTGGCTTATAATTTTATCTATAGATTTTATTCCTTTTGTTGAGTAGTTCAGTTGCGTCTGACTCTTTGTAACCCCATGGACTGCAGCACGCCAGGTTTCCCTGTCCTTCACTCTCTCCCAGAGTTTGCTCAAACTCGTGTTCATTGAGTTGATGATGCCATCCAACCATCTCATCCTCTGTTGCCTTCTTCTCCTCCTACCCTCAGTCTTCCCCAGCATGAGGGTCTTTTCCAGTGAGTCAGCTCTTCACATCAGGTGATCAAAATATTGGAGCTTCAGCTTCAGCATCAGTCCTTCTGCTGAATATTCAGGGTTGATTTCCTTTTAAGATTGACTGGTTTGATCTCTTTACTGTCCAAGGGACTCTCAAGTGTCTTTTCCAGCACCACAGTTTGAAAGCATCATTTCTTTGGTGCTCAGCCTTCTTTATGGTCCAGCTCTCACATCCATACATGACTGCTGGAAAAACCATAGCTTTGAGTATACAGACCTTTGTCAGCAAAGTGATGTCTCTGCTTTTTAATAGGCTGTCTAGGTTTGTCATAGCTTTTCTTCTGAGGAGCAGGCATCTTTTAATTTCATGGCTGCAGTAACTGTCTGCAGTGCATTTGGGGCCCAAGAAAATAGTTTATCACTGTTTCCATTGTTTCCCCATCTGTTTTCCATGAAGTGTTGGGATCAGTGCCATGATCTTCGTTTTTTGAATGTTGAGTTTTAAGCCAGCTCTTTCACTCTCCTCTTTCACCTTCATCAAGAGGCTCTTTAGTTCATCTTTGTTTTCTGCCATTAGGGTGGTATCATTTGCATATCTCAGGTTGTTGATATTTCTCCTGACAATCTTGATTCCACTTTGTGATTCATCCAACCTGGCATTTTGCATGATGTACTCTGCATGTAAGTCAAATAAGCAGGGTGACAATATACAGCCTTTCCCAGTTTTGAACCAGTCCATTGTCCCATGTCTGGTTCTAACTGATGCTTTTTAACCTGCATACAGATTTCTCAGGAGGCAGGTATTCCCATGTCTTTTAAGCATTTTCCACAGTTTGTTGTGATCCACACAGTCAAAGGTTTTAGTGTAGTCAGAGAAGCAGAAATAGATGTTTTTCTGGAATTTCCTTACTTAATCTTGTTGGCAGTTGCCTTGTTGGCAATTTGATCTCTGGATCCTCTGCCTTTTCTAAATCCAGCTTGTACATCTGGAAGTTCTAGGTTCATGTACTGTTGAAGCCTAGCTTGAAGGATTTTGAGCATTGTCTTGCTAGCATGTGAAATGACCACAATTGTACAGTAGTTTGAACATTCTTTGGCGTTGCCCTTTTTTGAGGTTGGAATGAAAACTGACCTTTTCCAGTCCTGTGGCTACTGCTAAGTTTTATTTTTACTCCTAAGTCTATGTAAATCACCAGTTATTTAGGTTTTGTAGTAATTATTTTTTATTTTGCACTTTAACGTTTTTCTTGTCCGAATTACAATGGTCCTTTAGCCTGCGTGGTTGTGGTCGCCAGGGTATGACTCCCCTGGGACACTGCCCAGAAGAGCTGAACCCAGGTCTGTGGGAAGAGGGGGGTGTGTGGTGTCCGCTGCGGACGAGCGCGGGCACTTGACTCCTGTGGTTCCCAGCGCCCCCCTTCCCCGCCTCCCCACAGGTGATCCGCAGGCACACGCTGGAAGAGAAGCTGCTCTGCCTAGTGCGGCACCGGGCAGGCCACCACTGCCAGAACGCCGTGATCGTCATCCTCATCCTGGCCTGGGAGGGCATCCCCCGCAGCCTCGGAGACACCCTCTACCAGGAGCTCACTGACACCCTCCGGAAGTACGGGAACCCCACCAGCCGGAGATGTGGCCTCAACGATGAGTATGTGGATGGTCCCAGTGGCGGGGGTGGGACACGGGGTTAGGGCCCTGTGTGTTCCGCAGAGGTAGGACTGTGGTGGAGAGTGCTCATGCACGGAGCTGGCCTGAGGTCTGACCCTGGCTGGGGAGGGTCTCTTGACTCAGCTTAGCTCTGCTTTCTGCCCCAAATTGACTCTGAGGCCCTAATAATGGTGGCAAGTGTGGAAATGTATGTGAGTGCCCCACTAATATAAGGCATCAGTGATATTCATAAGACCTATCCTTACAGGATCCTCCCCCATTTTTAAAATTAAGGTATTTTTACTTACGGTAAAATTCATTCTTTGAGGTATACAGTTTGAGGAATTTGACAGATGTTTATAGCCGTGTAGCCACCACCGCAATCAAGACATAGAACAGCTCCCTCAGCCCCAAACTCCACCATGCCCCGCTATAGCCTGGTGCTCCCCTCCACCCCTGGCAACCACACCTTGCTTCCTGTCTAGGTAGGGTTGCCTTTCTAAGAATGTCACATAAATGGAACGATGCAGCAAGTAGCCTCCCGAATCTGGCTTCTTCTCCTCAGCACAGTGTTCTGAGTTTCATCTATGGATGTGTGGATCAGGAACCCATTCCTTTTCATTACTGAGTAGTATTCTACCATGTGGATGCATCACTGTTTATTCATTCCCCAGCTGAGGGGTGTTTGGATTATTTCTGGATTTTATTAAGTGTTGAATGGTAATGTCAGTGTTAATTTCTTTAAAGGCCTGTCAGCACCTGGGCCTGCAGGAAGCAGGCATGTTCAAACTCTGTGGTTCACATTATTCCCCTCTTCGAGTGGTCTGTTGAAGCTGATCAAGATATTAGAGTCATGGCAAAGTGTAAACCTGATTGGGTTTTTGATTAGGTCCTTTCAGCCATCTCACAAAACCCAGGTGCTTCTCCCAGCAACAGACTCTCAGACCTTCAGGCTCAGGGGTGGGAGCCCAACAGGCTACTCAGAACTGGTCCTCTGCCCACAAGGGTAGAGACTTGGGAAAGGAGTTGAGGGCAGGGAATGATGTCATCCCAATAGTGGGAGGCCAGCGGATGCCAGGCAACAGCAGGGCCTCCCCCTCAGGGAGGGGAAAATTCCAGAACAAAAAATGTGCTTTGGATGCCTAACGTGTTATATGTTGCAGCCGGACCTGCGCTTGCCAAGGCAAAGACCCAAACACCTGTGGTGCCTCCTTCTCCTTCGGTTGTTCCTGGAGCATGTACTTCAATGGCTGCAAATATGCTCGGAGCAAAACTCCTCGCAAGTTCCGCCTCGCAGGGGACAACCCCAAAGAGGTGAGCAGAGCCCCATAGGGAGCCCAGGGGCTTCCACTCACCCTGTCCCACCTGCTGCCTCTAACAGTCCAGATGGCACATAGGATTAGTGCACTGAGACTCAGATGTGCATAAAATGGAACTTCCTTTTTTGTTTTTTAACTGACCTTATCTTGCAGTGAAATAAGTTATATGATGTGATGTGAAAGGATATGACAAGTGAAAAATTAGACTTACCAATTACAGGTACCTCAGACTCTTGCAGTTTAGAAAAGTCTCCTTAAGGTAAATGTTCAGATTCCTTCATTAGAGTATGGCCCTCTTAAGAGTTATCACTTCCCTTTATTCTTCACAAGACATCTTTCTGGGTGGGAGGTATGGGAGGAAGAGGGGTCTCAGGCCATCTTTTGGCTGTTGCTAGACTTCCCTCATCCTGCCCGGCTGCTGGAGACACATCTCTGTGCAGTTGTCCAGGTGTTTGCTGTCCCCTGCTGGGGGCCTGGCATGGTCCTCAGGCACTGGACTAGCATCCACATGACGTTGCCTCTAGGCCTGAGGCCTCCTCCTGCCCTCCGGAGCTTTTCCTCAACCCAGTAACAACAGGACAAGGGTCTCAGGGTCTCCTCTGCAGGCTGAGCTTAGGCTGGGAGCCAGGTGTGTTCAGCCAGGCTGCCTCCCCCTCTGCCACTTCTCTGTTGCCTTGGTTGGGCAGGCCATCTGAGGGGCTCCCACCTTGAAGTCTTGAGGCAAAGCCAGGCACAGGCTGCAGTGGGCTCCCCGCAGCCTCCCTCCCTCTTGCTTCTGCTACTGCAAGGAGGGGGCCACTGGATCCTGGCAGTACCTTGATCCCACTCTCTACCTTCCAACCCTCTCCAAGCTCCTTGTACCAGAAGGGCTTCCCCCCTTTTCAGGGGGCAAGGACTCCTGGGGTACCTTTTTTTTCCTAAACCACATATAAATTTTCTGTGCTCAGACTTCCAGGCTTTGCTTTTCAGAAATAAAAGGAAGCAGCACATCCAAATTTAGAAGCTCTTTTTTTTCCTCTCAAAGCCAGCTTTTTTGACTGTTACATAACCTAGTCTGAGTCTAATTTGACGCTAGACTTTTATTTATGGCAGCACCCTGCCTCCCTCAGAAGCAGCAAATGCAGTTGCTTCAATGAATGAAGGAGTCTCAGTGCCGCCAGAAACTAGGAATTATCATGAATGAAAGCAATACATGGAAAACAAGTATTTTCTCTGTTCCATCAGCTGCCATTTCCTGTGCACCTACTAAGTGCTGGGCACTTTGCTCAGAGCCTCACAAGTGTCTCAGTTAATCTTATGACATCCTGAGGCTCTGGGCACTAGGGCTGCTCCCTTTACAGGTGAGGCAGATGGCTTGCCTGAGGCTGTGTGGCGGTGATGGTGAAGTCAGCATTTAACCCTGGCCTGTGTCCCCCGCCATGTTGTGCTGGCTTCAGGCCCCCCGTGCTCGTGGAAGCACCTGGAAGGTAGCCAGGGAGTTGCAGTGAGGCTGGTGGTAGCTCTGCGGCCCCACTGGACCGACAGCTGAGCCATTGGTCTCACCCTTCTGTTTCTAATTCTGTGAGTTTGGTGCTTTCTTCCTTCCCTCTTCCTCCTCGTTCTTCTCTGTAAACTCTTCATGCCTGTGCTTAAGGCTGGCTTGGAGCCGCTGTAGCCCTACTTGTCACCCTCAGAGGGCTAGAGAAAGCCCGTAAATACCTTAAACTCTGTTTGGGGGCTGCTTCATTGAGGTCAGCATTGTCTGGTGGAACTTTCTGTGATAATGGAAATGTTCTCTGTAGAGTTACAGACAGCCACAGGGAACCACTTGTAGTCACTGAGTATTTGAAATGTGGCTAGTACAGTGGAGGGGCTGAATTTTTTATTTAATTTTAATTAAAATTAATTTATGCTGCAGTAGCCACACACGACTTGTGGACTGAACACCTGAGATGATAGTCTTAAAGGATAGAACGTTGAGCCTGTGTATTTGGCTCGTGACGGGTGCTGGGCCCAGCGGCTGTGGGATTCCTAGCACAGGCCCCGCCCGCCCCTCCCTGCCTCTGTTTACTTGTCTGGACCACTGCAGGAAGGATCCACACTTGCTGTTCATGCTCGCACACGCCTGCCATCCCCCACCTCTGACCGAGGTGCTCAGTAAGGGCAGGAACCTGTTCTAGGCGTTCTGAGCGGCTCTGGGCTGGAGGCTGGCAGAGCAGGTGCTTGGTAGTCAGGGTGACCAGACTCTGGTGAGCTTCAGCATCTCCAACTTTAAATCAGACGCGGCCCCACAGCCTTCCCAGAAGAAACACTGTTAAGATACCTGTCGGCCCCTTCTTACCTTGCCACTGGGAGCCCAGCAGAGGTTCTAGAATGGAGGTGGATTTCCAGGGTGCAGAGTTTACCAGGCGGAGCTGCTCTGGGGGTGTGTGACTATTCTCGTCTCCACAGGAAGAAGTGCTCCGGAAGAGTTTCCAGGACCTGGCCACCGAAGTTGCCCCCCTGTATAAGCGTCTGGCGCCCCAGGCCTATCAAAACCAGGTACTGGGTCTTGGGCTGTCCTCTGCTGTCCTCTGCCCACGTGACACCCCACCTCTGCCCAGCTCCCTGCTGTGTGGCAGTGCAGAGTGGGCTCCTGATGGGAAAGCCCGGCCAGTGCTCCAGCAGCGGTGCAGGTCTTTGTTAAGACCTCGTGTTTGCACCAGGCTTACCACACCCCGGACTGTCCTCTATCCTTGGTCTTTATCTCTCTCCCGCTCATAATCCTCCACGTCCTCTGCTCTGGTTTCTACTGAGGAGGCTTGAGTTTCTCTCACCAGTCACCTCTGCACTCCGTAGTTGAGGCAAGGGGGACTTGAGATAACCCAGAAGGAAGTAACCCCTACAGGGGCTTCAGCCATAAAACCTCCCTCCTGCAGCCCAAGTGCAAGACAGTCGTGTTCCTTAACCTCCTCCCTCCTCCCCTCCCTCTATGCCCCTGGCCTCCCCTCTGCCAAGTCAGGGCCACCATCCCAGGTCACTTGAGCAGCTCTCCCTGGCAATCTCCACAGGTGACCAATGAGGAAATAGCGATTGATTGCCGTCTGGGGCTGAAGGAAGGGCGGCCCTTCTCGGGGGTCACGGCCTGCATGGACTTCTGTGCCCACGCCCACAAGGACCAGCATAACCTCTACAACGGGTGCACAGTGGTAAGAAAGCCTGTGAGCTGTCACAGCCCCACCTATGAGATGATCCTGGGAGGGGGCACACACCTGCTCTGTGCGGATAGGTGGGCTCAAGGCTGGGAGAGACCCTGCCAGGCTGCCTGCTTCTGCCAACTTCTTTGGGAAATGCAGGGACAGAGCTGGTGTGGGTGGATGCTGCAGAATACAGCCTCTTGGGCACCCAATGTGCCCCAGTTTAATCTAAAGTGTGGTTCCAGGTCTCTCTGAACACTTGGATTTGAGTCCAGACAGTCTCTTTATTCATTCATTGGGCAAATGTTTATTGTGCCCCAGGTACTGCTCTAGATGCCGGGGGATAAAATGGACAGAGTGCTGCCCAAGTGTGTGATATAACGTCCGGTAGCAATGAAGGCTGTGAGGAGAAGATATGGTAGGGTAAGGGATGAGATGACCACAGATGCTATTTTAGATGACGTGGAGGGAGCCTTGTCTGAGAAGGGGCACCTGAGCAGACATGTGGAGGTAAGGGACTGAATGCATGGGGTGGGGGTGGGGTGCTCCAGGACCAACACAGGCGAAGGCTCAGAGGAGTGAGATTAGAGGGTGGGGCCGCAGGGGGCATGGGAGGCTGGGAGGGCTCTGGGTTGTGCTCTAGGTGTGATGGGAAGCCCTGGAGGGCTTTTCAGCTGGGAATGCTAAGATCTCACTTTTAAAGTCAGAAGCAGTCTCTTGCTCCTGCAGATGGAGAATAAAATATGTTCCAGTGGGGTGGGTGGGGAAGAACCAGGGCACGCAGGCCAGGTGGAGGCTGGGACAGTTGTCCGGAGGTGACAGAGCTTGGGCAGGAGGGCGGTGGGACTGGGGAGTAATTGGACAGGTTTGGGATGGCATTGAAGGCATAGCTGAGGGTATTTGCTCATGGCCTGGACATGGGATGTGTGAATTGCTTGAGCAACTAGGCAAGTGTTAGTGTATTTACTGAGATGTAGAATATCAGGAGAAGACCAGTTTGGGGTGAAAATCAAGAATTCTGTTTTGACAGACACAGACTCACAGACTTAGAAAACAAACTTATGGTTGCTGGCTTCCCTGGTGGCTCAGAGGTTAAAGTGTCTGCCCGCAATGCGGGAGACCTGGGTTCGATCCCTGGGTCGGGAAGATCCCCTGGGGAAGGAAATGGCAACCCACTCCAGTACTTTTGCCTGGAGAATCCCATGGATGGAGGAGCTTGGTAGGCTACAGTCCACAGGGTCGCAGAGAGTCGGACACGACTGAGCGACTTCACTTTCACTTTCAAGGATGGGAGAAAGGAATAGTTAGGGAGTATGGGGTGGACAGGTACACTGCTGTATTTAAAATGGATAACTAGCAAGGGCCTACCATATAGGAGAGGAAACTTTACTCAACATTATGGCAGCCTGGATGGGAAAGGAGCTTGGGGGAGAATGGATACGTGTATATGTATGGCTCAGTCCCTTTGCTGTCCATCTGAAACTATCACAACATAGTTAATTGGCTGTACTCCAATATAAAATTTAAAAGTTTTTTTTTAAATTAAGAAAATTCTGTTTTGAGATGCCTGCTAGATGTCCAGGTGGAGATGTAGAGTAGGCTGGGGAAAAGGAGAGTTTGGAGAAATGAAGTTGAGACTGGAGAGCACTTAGTTCATATTTAGGGCCATGAGCCTGGATGCAGGTCCCAGAAGAGTGAGTACAAGATGGAGAAGGGAGGAGGTTTGGGCTTGGGTGGGGGCACCCTGGAAGGAGTGATGTGGCTCTCTTCTCTGCTTTTCACCTAGGTCTTAGGAGACAGGGCTCCCAGGGGGCTGTGGAAGAGGCAAGGGCACTGGCATATTCAACTAAAAAGGAACTCCTAGAGTCAGTGTAGCTTCTGTCCGCATGGGATGAATGACCCAACCCTAGGATTTCATTTCTCCATCTTGTCCTCCCTTCCCATGTTCAAGACCAAAAAGTACGATGAGGCAGGCTTCTGTCTACACTGCACTGTGAGGATTTTCTAGCTGAAATATAGAGAAGGAGTGGGCCCTTCAGGATTAGGAAAGGAGCAGGACAGACCTTTGGGAGATAAGAGCACAGTCAGGTTATTTGAATCCCAGAGCTTCTGGAATGAAGTGAAAAATAAGTTTTTTCCAAAATGAATAATGGGTTTTTTCCTACCTGAACAATTATTTATTGTAAAAAAAAATTTAATAACATGAGAAAGTATAAATTTAAAATTGCCTGAAGTCTCATAGATAACCTGTGTTAGCATTGTGATGGCCATCCATTCAGATACCTGAATGTATGTGTGTGTGTGCACAGCTGTATACATTTTACACATGTGTATGTGCTGTTCCATGACCTTGCTTCTCTTAACAGCATGTGGTGGATAGCTTTCTGGGTCGGTGGATATCAGTTTACTTCAGCGTGTTCTAAGGCTGTATGTGTGGCTTTGTCACCATTTACTAACCAGTCCCCTGTGGACGGACAGTACTCTCAGACTCCTTTCCGTAAACCACAGGGAGGGTGTCCTCAGCACAGCTTTGTGCAGTGGCCCCAGGATAAGGACACTTACAGCCTTGGAGTGCTAATTTGGCAGCTTACTGGGCAACAGTCGGGTTGGTCAGGAGGCAGAGAGGGGAGAGAAGGGCCCACAGCTTTATTGCGGATTTCATAAAACAGAATGGGCAAGGCAGGGTAAAAAAACTGAGTAAGTTTAGGGTTGATAGTTTGAATAATTTCTTCAGGCTCTGGGCTTTAGAGGTGGTCTCTATGGGGTGATTTAAGGCAGGGAGAGTATTTGGTGTGTGAGAGTTTGATAAAGGAGTTGGTTGGGGTTGGGTAGGTTGGTTTATGTATCAAAGTTGCATTGGCAGGGGGTCATTTGCTGCCTATAGGATTTAGCTAGGCTTCCCAGGTGGCACTAGTGGTAAAGAACCCACCTGCCAATGCAGGAGACATAAGAGACACAGGCTGAATTCTTGGGTTGGGAAGATCCCCTGGAGGAGGGCATGGCAACCATCACCAGCATTCTTGCCTGCAGAATCCAATGGACAGAGGAGCCTGGTGGGCTACATCCATAGCGTCGCAAAGAGTTGGACACAGCTGAAGCAACTGAGCATGCAGTCTTAGGGAGAGTCAGTCCCTTCAAGATCAAGGCCCCAAATGTTAGAACATCAAGAATGCAGAAAATAAAATATAGTCAATACAAGAGTAAAAAGAGTAAATGAAAAAAAAAAAATCAGACGCCTTAGTAATCAGAGAAGCATATTCCAATGGTGAGATACATTTTGATAACAAGTGAAAAGTTTTGAATGAATGGCAAAAATGTCAACAAAAGTATAGGAAAATGGAAAATTCTGCCAGTGTGAGTGAAGCACTGATGCTAAATCGTTTCGGAGTACAGTTTGGCAGTATGTGGCAGTTCTTCCTCATAGTGTTTATCCTAAGGAATTAAGTATCTTAGAAAATTCAGTGAAAGAATAAAAGTATTACTTACCATAGGAAAAAATGAGAAACAGGTTTAAATAGTCATGAGGAATTAGTTAAATAGGTTAACACATTGATATAGTGGAATAATATAGTGTGGCTCTTAAATCATATTGGGGAAGAATATCTAACATGGAAGAAAATATATTGTGTAAGAAAAAGTTATTCTAAAACTGTATCCAGAATATGGGCTTTCCTGGTGGCTCAGTCAGTAAAGAATCCGCCTGCAATGCAGGAGACCTGGGTTCGACCCTGGGTTGGGAAGATCCCCTGGAGGAGGGCATGGTAACCCACCCCAGTATTCTTGCCTGGAGAATCCCATGGACACCGGAGCCTGGTGGGCTACCGTCCATGGGGTCGCGAAGAGTTGGACACAACTGAGTGACTAAGCACACAGCACATACATAGTATAAACAATCCTATTTAATTATTAAAAAGTGAGCATGTCTATGACCAAGTATATATACGGGTTATTTCTAGTTGGTGGGATTATGGAGATAATTTTCATGTCCTTTGTATTGCTGTAAATTTTCTACCACCAACATGTACAGTTTTCAGTTTTAAGAACAAAAGGAGATGAGTGTTGAGGGCAAGGAGGATGATGGTGGAAGGTCCAAGGTCTGGGTAATGACATGTCCTGGCAGTGATGACAGTCGGGGGCAGAGCACATCTCCCTGTCCTGACCTGGCCCCTTTCTGGCTGTTTGACCCAGAGCCGGTCATCTCATGCCCCCTCAGCCTGGTTAGGCAAAGTGAAACGATGTGTGTTGAAAACTGTCAAGCAAACTCTAAATGTTGGTGACCCCGTTCCTGTATAAGCCAAGACAAGTGTGCTTTTTAGATGCTCTGAGAGGGGCTAACGGATGGCTGGGGTTGGGACGGTCTGTGCGCGGGATGCTCAGCCCCTCCCTCCCAGTGCCGGGCTCCCCCAACCCCTGTCTCTGCTTGAGGCAGGTCTGCACCCTGACCAAGGAAGACAATCGCTGCGTGGGCAAGATCCCCGAGGACGAGCAGCTGCACGTGCTCCCCCTGTACAAGATGGCCAGCACGGACGAGTTCGGCAGTGAGGAGAACCAGAACGCCAAGGTGGGCAGCGGGGCCATCCAGGTGCTCACCGCCTTCCCCCGCGAGGTCCGGCGCCTGCCCGAGCCTGCCAAGTCCTGCCGCCAGCGGCAGCTTGAGGCCAGGAAGGCAGCAGCTGAGAAGAAGAAGATTCAGAAGGAGAAGCTGAGCACTCCTGAGAAGATTAAGCAGGAGGCCCTGGAGCTGGCTGGCATCACCACTGACGCAGGTGTGTGGGGAGAGAGCGCCCAGCAGGGGAGGCACGGCGCCATCAGTTCGGGGGGCCCTTACCACCCCTCTTCCTGCCTTGAGATAGCATTCCAGGCAGGAAAGTACTGGAATCTCTCAGCCATCTGAACCGTCAGTTAGTCAGCGACAGAGGACGCCAGACCCGATGGGAGGCACCTGGGAGCCGAGGGCACGGAGGGCCCCCCATCTTCCCAGAGGGCAGCTGGGTGTCCCCCAGCTCGCCCACGCCCCTCGCAGCGGGACAGCAGGGTCTTCGGTGTGGGCAGCCCCGACCCCTGCCGCAGCTGGCGCGGGGGCGCTTCAGGGAGGACAGGTGGGGGTCTGCCTGGGTTGGGGCGCTGAGGGCTCTGCCGGCCGCTCTCCCAGGGCTTCCTCGGGGCCAGGCCAAGCGGAGCGGCGCCGGGAGCAAGCCCAGCCTCCCGCGTCCTGCCTGCCTGGCTGAGGAATCCCCTCGGGAGAAGCGGGCGCTTCTGTGGCGGTGGTCCTCTGTGCGCCTTCTCTGTCTCACCTCCTGTCTTCCTCAGGCCTCTCTCTGAAGGCTGGGTTGTCCCAGCAAAGCCTGAAACCCTCCCTCAAGGTGGAGCCGCAGAGCCCCTTCAGCTCCTTCAAGTATAGCGGCAACATGGTGGTGGAGAGCTACTCGGTGCTGGGCAGCTGCCGGCCCTCCGACCCCTACAGCGTGAACAGTGTGTACTCCTACCACTCCTACTATGCACAGCCCGGCCTGGCCTCCGTCAACGGCTTCCACTCCAAGTACGCGCTTCCGTCGTTCAGCTACTACGGCTTCCCGTCCAGCAACCCGGTCTTCCCCTCTCAGTTCCTGGGTGCTGGTGCCTGGGGGCACAGTGGCAGCAGCAGCAGTTTCGAGAAGAAGCCAGACCTCCACGCTCTGCACAACAGCCTGAGCCCAGCCTACGGTGGTGCTGAGTTTGCCGAGCTGCCTGGTCAGGCTGTCCCCACAGACACCCACCACCCCGCTTCTCACCACCAGCAGCCTGCTTATCCAGGCCCCAAGGAGTATCTGCTTCCGAAGGCCCCCCAGATCCACCCAGTGTCCAGGGACCCCTCTCCTTTTGCACAGAGCTCCAATTGCTACAACAGATCCATCAAGCAAGAGCCGGTAGATCCACTGGTCCACACTGAATCTGTATCCAGAGAGCCTGGCAAGATGGGCAAAACACCTTTGCCTGAGGCATCTCAGAACGGGGGTCCCAGTCATCTATGGGGACAGTACTCAGGAGGCCCAAGCATGTCCCCCAAAAGGACTAACAGCGTGGGTGGCAGCTGGGGTGTGTTCCCTCCTGTGGAGAGCCCCGCCGTTATCCCTGATAAGCTCGGTTCTTTTGGGGGTGCCTGCCTGACCCCTTCCCACTTCCCTGATGGCCAGCATCAGTGGGGGTTGTTTCCTGGCGAGGGACAGCAGCCAGCCCCCCAGCCTGGAGGACGGCTGCGAGGCAAGCCGTGGAGCCCCTGCAAGTTTGGAAGCAGCGCCTCGGCCTTGGCTGGGCCCGGCCTGACTGAGAAGCCCTGGGGGTTGGGGGCAGGGGATTTCAACTCCGCCCTGAAAGGTGGGCCTGGATTCCAGGACAAGCTGTGGAGCCCCTTGAAAGGGGAGGAGGGGAGGATTCCAACCCCGGGAGCGAGCCAGCTGGACAAAGCCTGGCAGTCCTTCAGCATGCCCCTGGGCCCCAGTGAGAAGCTGTTTGGGGCCCTGAAGTCCGAGGAGAAGCTGTGGGATCCCTTCAGCCTGGAGGAGGGGACAGCAGAGGGGCCCCCTAACAAGGGGACTGTGAAGGAGGAGAAGGGCAGCGGGGGCGGCGCCGGTGGAGCGGAGGAGGAGGAGGAACTGTGGTCGGACAGCGAACACAACTTCCTGGACGAGAACATCGGCGGCGTGGCCGTGGCCCCCGCTCACGGCTCCATCCTCATCGAGTGTGCCCGGCGGGAGCTGCACGCCACCACGCCCCTCAAGAAGCCCAACCGCTGCCACCCCACCCGCATCTCGCTGGTCTTCTACCAGCACAAGAACCTCAACCAGCCCAACCACGGGCTGGCGCTCTGGGAGGCCAAGATGAAGCAGCTGGCGGAGAGGGCGCGGGCACGACAGGAGGAGGCTGCCCGGCTGGGCCTGGGCCATCAGGAGGCCAAGCTCTATGGGAAGAAGCGCAAGTGGGGGGGTGCCGTGGTCCCCGAGTCCCAGCATAAGGAGAAGAAGGGGATGGTCCCCACCCGGCAGGCGCTGGCCGTGCCCACGGACTCGGCGGTCACCGTGTCCTCCTATGCCTACACGAAGGTCACCGGCCCCTACAGCCGCTGGATCTAGGTGCCAGGGAGCCAGCGTACCTCAGCGTCGGGCCCGGCCCGAGCTGCCTCTGTGGTGCTTTCGCCCTCACACCTGGGGGCGGGTTGGGGGTGCAGAAGTCTTTTTATCTATATATACATATATAGATACGCATATATATGTATTTATGGTCCAAACCTCAGAACTGACCCGCCCCTCCCTTCCCCTCCCCCCACCCCCACTTCCCCAGCACTTTGAAGAAGAAACTACGGCTGTCGGGTGATTTTTTTCGTGATCTTAATATTTATATCTCCACATTGGTTTTTTTCCCTCCCTTGTTTGGGGGGGCTTTTATTTTCTCTTGTTTTTAAAACTCTATCCTTGTATATCACAATAATGGAAAGAAAGTTTATAGTGTCCTTTCACAAAGGAGTAGTTTTAAATTCCATTTAAAATGTGTATTTATTGGATTTTTTTTTTTAAGTGACAATTGTAATGGTAAAGGATCGGCAGGAAAGGCCAGAAGCACTCATTCCTGCCCAGGTGTGCTGGGCCTGGTGAGCCTGGCCCTCTTGGGAGATGACGAGGTTCTCTCAGCCATCGGCCCCTCATGAGCCAAGTGCAGGTCGTAGCCACCCACTGCATCCCCCTGACAGACACGCCTTCCCTTCAGGGGAGGGAGCCCTCAGGACAGCTTCTGTCCTCTTCAGTAGGATGGGAGAATCTGTAGAAAAACCCCTGGGGTCCCTTTTCCAGTCACCGGCTTGGAGTCGGGTATGGGGGGGCAGGCGCACCCCAGGCCAGGCACCTGAGATGCTGGCATAGATCTCCCCCGAAACCAGGTTGGAAGTAGATAGCTTCAAGCTTGCTAGTCTCCACACTGAATCCTCTCTGTCCGTTAGCTATCAAGTCACGTGGTACCGTGGTCCCCTCGGCAGCACCTCGGGACGGAGCTGGAATCGAGAGGTTCTCGGGAGCCTTTTTCCACCAAGCTGACTAGCCGATGAATACTGGCTGAAGGAATTTGTCTTAGTGGCAGGTTTAAAAAAAAAAAAAATGCCTCCAAAGTCGATGCTGATACCGAAAAGGGCTACTGTATCTTTAAGAACAAGAAGTCGAACCCAAGCTGTGAAAAGCCGAGCCTGGTGCTGCAGTGCTGTGCTGGGGCCTCCTTGATCGGGCAGGCCGCCCCGCGGGACTCCGCACAGCAGTGAGACAGCTGTAACGCATCTCCTTATCCCTGGATTTCACATTGGACAATGGTGCATGCCTCACACCTGCGCCCACCCCTCCATGCTACCATTTGAGGAGTGGGCCTACACTTAACAATTTTTAAATGCAAGAGTCAAACATTTTCAGCAGGTAGCTATGATTTTCCTCCCTAATTGGTGCCATTTCTCTATTTGGTCATTTTCTCCTTTCCTTCCTTCCTCCCCTCTCCACCCACTTGAACATGCCCATTCTAAAATTCTGGTGCATTCGTTCAGTTCTTTGAAATGAGAATGTGGTGCTTAATTTTTTTGACATTTGTTGAGAGAGGTTGGGCCTGACAGGTAGGAAGCAACATTCGTCGACAGCACGTCAGACTTCTTGGAGTGTGTGTTTTTCCTGTGGTATTAGCAGAAATGATGTCCAGCTACCCATGTGGATGTATGTGGTGCGTGAGAGGCTTCGTAAGGACACAGAGGGGAATATGGCCACGCAGTGATTGACAGCCAAACCCTGAGATAAACAGCAGATATTTATTGAGCAGTTTTATTCAGATGTGGGTCTTCATATGAGTTTAACAATCAGATGACGATGCTAGAGGCAAGTTCCTGAGCTTCCAGGTGCCTTGTGTAAGAGCTGAGAATCGACCCGCTGGGTGTTTACTGTAACTGTTCCAGCAGCACTGGCGGAGACTCGCTATGAGATGTCCTGAGCATTTATGTGGTCTGGTTTTAATTGTAAATAGTGAAAAAAGATTTTTAAGCACTTTTGCCTAGATTTAAACAGCAACTTGAAAAAAGTATGTTTTAACATGTAATTGTGGGAGAAATTGTAAATAGTAGCTGAATATTTAACGTGCTTTGTCTAGCCTTCACTTTTACCATATTCTGTAAAGTTGCATTTATTTTACAGGACAAAAATGAAATATTATTGCTTTTGAAATAAATACCCAAGAGCTTATCAGGATTTCGAATTATTCAGAACTCAGATTTATAGGAAAACCTCTGACCTTCAGTTTGACAAGCTAAAGGAAGCAGAGTCTTTAATGAGCATGCTGATTTTCTAGTTTTGAGGAAAAGTTGGGTCCTTTAAATGCTATTTTGCTTAACGCATCAGTACTTTTATGCAGGTCTCATTTGACTCCGTGCTTAGGTAGATGCGGGGGTGCCTTGAAAACTTCATTTTAAATTATCTTAAACAAGAAATACAATATTTTACAAAACATTTGGAGAATGTGACCGTCTGTATGACCCGGGAAAGCCCCAGGTTGGCTGTTGGTTTGGAAGGTCCCGAGTGTAACCCAGGTGATTCTGATACTTGACATGTATGAATCTCCTTGATGTGTGTTTAATAGACTCTTCCCCTCATCACCCTTGGTAGCAAAGCCATTAGATGAAAGGAGAAACCAATACAATCTAAAAGCATGTGATGTCTCTCCCCCACCCCCAACCCAAACAGCCTTTGGTTCATAAATTCTGGATTAGCAAATAGGCTGCTGAGAAGTGAGTCAAGAGGCAGTCTCCATTGGATGTCCCCATGCCCTCCAGAACGGTGTTTCAGAGATTAGGTGGTGCTGTTGCCATGCTCAAGCCCATGCTGATTTTTACACACTACATGTATAACCTACCTCAAATCTCAGTCATTAAATTAGCATGCTTTAGACGTAAGTTTAAAAAGTAACTATGCACAGCTCTTTATCCCCTCCCCCTTGCTGCTGAAGGTTTCTTAAAGAGAAAAATGGAATTTTTATTTTTTACTGGCACTATCATTTTTTAAGTCCTAAAGATGATTAACAGACATTTTTATCATGAGAAGAAAAATAAAGCCATTGCAACTAAAGAACCTAACAGCATGACCAAGTTTTAGGAATAATAGTCTAGCAACAGAAATGATGGAGTCCTAGAGTCATCTCCCCCAGTGTGCCCTGTCCACAGATGCCATCCACGTGCAGTGCAGACAGTTGGTTCTTCTTTTGTTTTCCCTGCCTTTTTTGCATGCAAGGAAAGTACTTGCAAAGTTTTGTGCTAAGAAGTTTTTAAAATAAAAAAATCGCTTTGCGGCAGGTTCTCGCAAAATAACTGGTGCTAGCTCAAGAAACCGTTATCTAACCATCAGAAATGTTGACTGAAGTGTTTCATGGCTTTTGAGGTTTCTTGTTTTCGTTATTGTTTGGTGTGTTTTCTGGCAGGGCCTGGGTTTCCCACTCTGGCTATGTGGGTACTGCCTCGCCGTCTCACTGAGATGACAGGTGCGCAGGGAAAGAGATCCTACCCGCCCCTCTTGGTCCTCTCACCAGCCTCTTTTGGAAACAGTAGTTTGCAGAGCAAGGGATTTAAAAGTGCTGAAGCAAGGAAGGAAGGAGCAGATCTTAATTGCTTTGTGCCCAACAGCAGTGGGTATGCGAGGACGGGTGACAGTGAGTAGATGGTAACCTGATTCCATTAAGAGAACCCAGCCAGGCTTCATGAAGTTGACCACCGCCAGACCTCACACCAGGGCAGTGCTGCGGAAATTAAAATGATAGCCCCGACGTGCCTCAACCAATCTCTTTCCTTTTGTTACTGAAGTGTGTTTTATGGACTAGGAAGCATTTTTATGAATTGAAATAGTCTAAATAAACTGGTGCTATGGTGTTTTAACGTGACTGTCCCTGATCCTGTCCTGCTGAGGTGCTATCAAGGTTCTGAAACCACAACCAACCAAAAACAAGGTGGGCTCCAGTCTCTTGGCTTCTTCCCCTGCCCCCTTTTGGTGCTGTCTCCTTAGACTTCTGTTTACGTGCTAGAACCTGCTCTGAGCAGTCTTTCTGTTTTGTTTTATTCCTCCCTTGCTGGCCAGACAGAAAGGCAAGTCTCAAAGGCAGCCAGCCCTCTTACTGGGGCGGGGAGTGGGCCTGCCTGGCTTGGAGGTGGCGGGCACGCTGGTTTCACATGTGTCCTCTTGGGTCTATCAAGAAAGGAAGCATGAAGAGGTTTTGGGTTTTTTTTTTTTTTTTGGAGGAAGGGGAGTCAGGTACTCCTGCGTCTTCTAACATGGCAGGCATTCTCATAGCCGACAGACGTTTTCTCCTGCTGTCCAGGGTGCTGACTAGATGTCTCTGAGAGTTCCAAAGGTGCTCTGCAGGCTAGGGTGGGCAGATGGGCCTCCTCCCCTCCCCAGCACTGGCCAGGACCGTGGTGGGCAGGGGGCTCATTCCTTTGCTCCTCACAGCCTTTGCCCCAGCATCCAGCATTGCTTCTGCCTCTCATTGGTATCCCCTCGTGTTCAAACTAAAGGAAGGAGCTTTGCTCACTTGGTGCCACTGAGGCTGTTTTTAGTTGGTGCTATTCTAAATTTCTTCTTGGGTCCACATAAGTTGATATTTTAAAAATTCAACAGGAAGCTCCATTTTGTGTCATCCACTGTCACAATTTTTTTTAAATACCTCAAAAACAGGACATCATGACAACTTTGGTAAAGTAGATTCCAGGAGGCTCTGATACATACGGGTTGTCCATTTGATGACCTACTTGACCTTGAAGAATCTGGGGTCATTTTATTTTTCATTCTTCAGTTAAAATGGCAGAATGCTTAGAGGAAGGACTGTGGTTGACTTTTATTTTGTTTGCTTTTAAGTTTTGCTTTTGAATAAAATGTGAATTTCCTCTGCCCATCTCATTGAGCTTTTTCAGTCATTGTTGCTTTCATTTGAAATGACTCCCTCACAACCTATTTTTATTAACCAGCTGCATCTGCTGTAGTACATGGCCAACTTCAACATACCCTGGACCAACCTGAATATTTTTTGAGGTGCATACCCCCAGCATAGGTTATACAGTCCCACACGCACTCGC